AGGTGATCCTTGGGAGCTGCTTGCAGGGGTGGAGGACCCCCATGAGGCTGCAGTGGGGGTTATCAGTGGGAGATGCCGCCCCAGGCCCTTGCTGACACACTGCTGTGGCTTGCAGAAGAGGATGCGGTGGTCACCGTAGCGCTGGGGGACAAGGGAGAGTCCCTGGTTCGGAAACGAACAGTTGGGATCCTAGACATGGGGGGTGCCTCCCTGCAGATTGCCTATGAAGTGCCTGACTCCAGAGCCTTCTCCTCCCCGCAGCAGGTGTGTATGTGTCCTTGAGATCAGCCCTCACCTTCCCTGGGCCGCTGCTGACCATAGACCTCTCTGTGTCCCCAGGAAGAGGCTGCTAAGAGTCTGCTGGCAGAATTCAACCTGGGCTGTGATGTGCAGCACACCGGCCATGTGTATCGTGTCTATGTCAACACCTTCCTGGGCTTTGGGGGCAATTTTGCCCGGCAGCGCTATGAGGATCTTGTGCTGAACCAGACCTATGTACATAATCGGTACTGCTGCCTCACCTAGCGGTGTCCCTGCTGGGGCATTGCAAAATGGGGTGCTGCTTCCTTCATGACACCCTCCCTGTTGCATTGCCTCAGGAGCTGCCCATGACAGTACCAGCTCCCATAGCCACATAGGCAACAGCTGGGAGGTTGGCACAGGGTGCATGGGCTTGGCAGGTGTTACCGGTGCTGCAGCTCCCTGCCTTCCTCCTCCTCCTTTTGCAGCCGGCTGCAGGGAGGCTCCTGGTGGCTTTCAGCTTTTCCTGCTCCGACTTTCCCTCCTTCTCCAGCACCGATTCACTCAGCACATCTTTCCATTGCATCCTCACCTTGAGCTCTCTCTCCTGTCTCTCCTTCCCTCCGTGAAGCTGTCGCCAGAGGCGGAGAGGCTTAATGCCCAGGTACTCCTGTGCCAGGAGCAAACCCTGCCTCCAGATCCCCGGGGGGGTGTGCAGGGGTCTGGATCCCTGTGAGCTGGGAGGGATGGGCTGTGCCTTGTTGCACCCCGCAGGCGCTCAGAGCTTGTGGCTGCAGGGCAGTGTGACACATCAGGCAAGTTTGGCCTTGCCAGGAGGTGGCAGGGTGGGTGCCAGCATTATGGGGTACAAGGGGACATGGTGTGGGGGGCATCTGGCTGTAGGACCACTAAACTAGGCTTTTGGGGGGTGGTATAGGACCCCCTGTGCAATTGCCTTTCCTTCCTGGCTTGTTTTGCAGCCTGCACAGCCAGCAGATGGGGCTGAGCCCCAAGATGCCCTTCCTGGACCCCTGCCTGCCCGTGGGGCTGGAGGATACAGTGGTGAGGGGTGGACAAACCCTGTTTGTGCGGGGACGAGGGGACTGGCCAGCCTGTGCAGAGCTGCTGCAGCCCCTCCTGGCTGGGCCCAACAGCAGCCAGGCCTCCCTGGTGGGGGCCTACAAAGCACCCATTGACTTTGGCAACAGCGAGTTTTATGGCTTCTCTGAGTTCTTCTACTGCACCGAGGACGTGCTGCGCCTGGGGGGCCACTACAGTGCCCCCACCTTCACCTCTGCTGCCCAGGTGCGTGCTGTGCCAGCCCTAGGCTGGGCAGGAGTGGGGTCTGTTTTCTGCACTGAGCCCCAACTTCTCCTTCCTTTAGGAATACTGCAGCCAGCGATGGGAGGTGCTGACCCGACGCTTCCGTGGTGGCCTCTACTCGGCTCATGCTGACCAGCATCGGCTGAAGTAAGCGGCTTTGAGGGAGTGCCATGGCTAGGCCTCCTGTGGGGCTTTTGCTGGGATAAGGGACTAGGGTAGGGGGTGGTAGTGTCTGGCTGATGGCTCTGCTGCACCTGCAGGTATCAGTGCTTCAAATCAGCCTGGATGTATCAAGTCCTTCACCAGGGCTTCAGCTTCCCCCTGGATTACCCAAGCTTGCGCACAGCCCAGCTGGTGTACGACCGGGAGGTCCAGTGGACACTGGGAGCCATCCTCTACAAGACAAGGTTTCTGCCACTCAGGTACCATTGGCTTGCTGACGGCATTGCTCAGGGAAGGGTGGTTGGGGAGAAGCAGGAGTTACCACACCAGGCAAGGGCTCTGCCACCCCTGGCAAGGGGGAGTGGTGGCACAGACCCCGGTAGTACCCCACGGCATCCCAGGCCAGTCCTGACATTTTTCTCCACAGGGATCTCCGTCAGGAGAGCATCCGGCAAGCACACGCCTCCTGGCTGCGCCTCTCTTTTGTCTACAACCACTATCTCTTCTTTGCCTGCATCCTGGTCGTGGCGCTGGCCATAGTCCTCTACCTCCTGCGGCTACGCCGCATCCACCACCGGCAGCTGCGCTTGGCTCAGCTCAACCTGCTCTGGCTGGACAAGGTGGTGGTGCCACTGGGCCAGGGGAATGGGCCATGACACCAGCGGTACCCTCTGTTCAGTTGCACCAGCAGAACCAGGACTGGTTCACAGCCTGGACTCCGAGGGCTTGGACTCCTTAAAGATCATCTCAGCTCTGCACTCTATCATCTCCATATCAGAACCAGAGCCTATGGGCTCCTCAGGCAGCTATGGACAGTGGAGCCTGGCTCTCTGCCTTGCCCCAGACGTAATCTTTGCATTCCTTGGCCTCTGGCCTTTGCCTTGCTACGTGGTGTAGAGCAAAGTCCTCTGCTGCCAGCAGGCTCAAGGCTGCAGCCCTGGCAGGTCCCTCAGATAAACAGGACACTATCACTGAGGTGGCCAACCCAGGGCTGTGGCCTGAAGCACTGGGGCACCCCGTGACTCAACCAGGGGGTTGCAGAGCAACCTGGTGCGGTGCTGTAGCTCATCACGGGGGTGGCCCTTCTGCAGTGCCTGACAAGCCCATGGGCTGGAGAACAGCAGTAGCCAGCAAAGTTCCTGCAGGATGCAGGTGAGCCAAGAGTTCCACTGGGCTGTTCTGCTCTGCCCAGCCTGGCCCCTCTCAGAGCATTCCTTAAGAGCTGTCCTGCTCTTTGCCATGTTTCCCTCTCGTAGGACAATCGCCCATGGTCCCAGGCTCAGCCCTGAGGGCCTGGGGACTTGTCCCTAGAGCACCACCAAAGTGGCTGCTTTTCCTTCGGTGCATTCCCTCCTGGGCGCATCTGCCCCGTGGTGTCCCCCACGTTAATCAGGCACAAACCAGGACCCATGGTTGTTCCGCATTCGTGCAGGCTGGCCCTGCCCCTGGGGAACCACCTCACTCCAGCCCAGCTGTGCACAGGCACAAGCCTTCCTCTCCTGGGGCTGGAGCCCAGCAATGAACCAATGAAGTTTGTCACTTTTTACTTGAACTCAGCTGCTGCCACTCCTGTAGCAATAAACAAACCCCATGAGCCATTGAGATGGGTCTTGTCTTTCAGCAGCAACAGCTCCTAGCTGATGCCATGATGGGGCCAATGTGTCTGCATAGCACTGTTTCAGGATGCTGTAGAGAGATGATACAGCTGCTTTGTTGCCTGTGTTCTCTGTAATTCCAGCAGTTCAGCTAGCTCAGCTCCAAAAGCTTCCAAGCAAAGGAAGCTCTGATCCAACCTTAACTGTTGTGATCCTTGGAGACAGCATCCTCTGCTGCCTTCCCCTGAACGGAAAAGCCTGGACACTTGCAGCCTCTGGAAGAGGATTTTTACCTTATTCCCTACCCCAGCTGGGAAACAGGCCACTAAGCTCTCCAGCTGCTGCACAGCTGTGGGGATGGCCCCAGCACAGGCACATACCACAAGTGAGCCTGGGCAGGTACCCAATTCTCCTTCTAGCACATGCTGTTGCCTCTGTGTGTGACCCTGGTCCCACAGGACCACTGCACAGGTGGCATGAAGGAGAAAACTTTCCATGCACTGGTGTGCTGCCAACCTCCAGCCCAACAGCCAATCATCCTTGGTCTCATGGTGCAAGAGCACAGTTAGGGAGGAAGTCTGAATAAAGCCAAGACTGTTCCTCAGTCTCAACACAGCAAATGACTGCCTCCTGCCTCCAACATCACTTACTAGGAAAAAGATTTATTTCCACAACACAAACTTAACAAATACAGACAAATAAATAAATAAATACAGATAAATTACTTCATAAATAAAGGGTAACCTAAGCCACAATGCCCTACTTGGTTCTTCTCAGAGCCTGGACACAGGTTGGGGTGGTGATGATACCTAGATGCTACTGCAGCTCCCTTGCTGCTGAGATGGGAGGAGACACAGCACCTCTTTAATCCCCTGCAGCAGGCTGCCAAGCAAGGGAACCCCCTGCCTTGCACCCAGCACCTCCCTCATCACACCCAAGGGGGTTGGCATGCTCTTCCAGGATCAGCCTTCCCTTCTCCCACCCAGAATAGAAGCAAGGACCACCCCCACCACAGGGGACTGACCAGGCAACAGAGGATGCAATGGGCTCTTCCCTGCTCATGCAGAGGGGCAGCCGGTGCCTGAAATGAGCAGGGTTATGGCAACTAGTTGGGTAGTTTGGGCTAAGAGCAGGGGTTTCCCTTCGGGGGCTAGGGCTGAGTGCACGGGAGGGAGCAGGACGAGTACTGCAGGGACAGGATCTGCTGGCACTACACACAGATCCCTCTCGGGACAGTGCTCAGTGTCAGTGACTGCAGCACTTGGCCAGCTGAGGGGATCTCTCCCTGGCAGTGTGGCTGCTCCCAGGGCTGGACTGACTAGACCCTCATCCCGGAGTGCTGCCTCCTGTGCTCAGGGACTGGTCCAAGTTGCAGTGCTCAGGGTGCGCTGGGGCACTGGGTCCAGCTTCTGTCCCAGGACCTCTGGGAGGGTGCTTGGTATAGGAGGCTGAAACAGCAGCAAGAGCTGGGGGAGGGAGAAGAGAGAAGTTAGCACCAAACTGCATCCATGAGGGAGCTCCCACAAATCTAGAGCACCACAAGCTCAGGGGGAAGTGCTCGGTTTGCTCAGCACCACCACACGGACACCAACTCACCACTGCCACAACGCACACACGCCAGAATATCTCCTACCCATCAAGGGCCAGGCTGAACTCCCTCCCCAGTCAGACACCAGCAGGCAAGTGGGGACACCCCGGCCCTCTGTGCACTCACGGTGATGATTCGGGTGGGGGGGTCTCTGTTCAGGCAGCGGCTCCTGGGGACTGCTCACTCCCAGAGGAAGCGCACGTACCAGATGGTCTCGTTCTTCAGCTGCGGCCCGAACAGGGGGTTGGCCTGGGCCAGGATCGCGATGAGCCAGCTGCAAAGGGACCCAACCTACCGTTAGCTCCGGTAGCACATCCCAGGATCCCGGCAGGGTGCTGCCTCAAGGGGCCGGCAGAGAGGCTGCTGCCCCGGGAGGGAGGTAGGCCGCAGACCAGGGGCTGTCCCACTCATCCACGAGCAGGAGGCTGAGCAGCAACCACTGGGCCCGGTGAAACAGGGGGGTATCGGCGCCCTGTCCGCAGTACTTACAAAAGGTAGCAGCACACGGCGGTGGTGACCAGCATCGTGATGATCACCCTGCGGAGACACCGGCGTTAGGAGTAGCATGCCCGGTCCTGCAACCCCCACCCCCGCTATCCCTCCTCACTCACCCGCGGTTCGGCCCCTTGGGCACGAACCAGGGGGCGGCGATGCCCACGAGGCCCCAGAAAGCGGAGAAGAGAACAAGCGGCAGCGCAAAGCTGTGCGCCGTCATGGCCGCTCCGCGCCGACCGACCGACAGACCGACCGCCGCCGCACCGGATGCCGCTCCGCCCACAGCCGCACGCAGCGGCCAATCCGCGGGCGGAGCGAGGCGCGCTGGCGCCACCGCCGCCTCCCATTGGCGGATACGTGGAGCCGGGCGCACGCCGGACCAACGCCAGGGGGCGCCAAAGGGAGCCCGCCCCTCTCCGGCGCGGCGGCTAGGCTCGGCGCCCTCTGCCCGCCCGCTGCCGCAGGAGCCCCCCATATCCCGCCTCATCTCCGCTGTTTCGGAGCCCTGCGCACCCCGCCTCACCTCGCTTCGGAAAGGAGGCACCCAGGCAGACACCAGCCGCTCCGTAAAAACGGCTTTATGTTACAAAGTTCGCACTCGCACCCGACACCTCCTCCCTGCGCGCATCCCCGTGCGCCCCGGGTGCAGGGTCTCTGCCGCCTCTGGGCACAGCTGCCCCGGGGTGGGGGCTCTTCCGCCGGGCGGTTACTTGGGGACCCTCCGGAGCTCGCTCATGAACCAGAGCGCCATGCTCAGCAGTGCCAGGGAGCCCGATTGGTGTGTGGCCGCCAGAGGTGTGGGGACATACAGGAGCAGGGTGCTGATGCCCAGGCCCACCTGCCAAGAAGGGAGAAGGGGTAAGAGCATCTGTGAATGCACCATTGACACATCCCCAGCACAAAGTACGATGTAGAAAGGCTCATGGCTACAGCCAGATTTCCCACCCTCCAATTAAGACAGTGCATGCAGAGGACCCAGGTCCAGGCTGCTCCACCTCTTCACTCCTGGGGCCAGCACGTACCCAAGCGGGGGATAACTATTTTGTGAGTACCTGCAAGTAAGCCACAGCCAATAAGGAAGTCACTGCCATCCTGGCCCTGCGAGGGAGCGGGATCTTCCGTGAGAAGAGGTACAGTGCTGTGACAGCTGTGACAGAAGTGATTCCCTACCGATAGAGAGAGAAAAAAACACCTTTCAGGCAGAGTTCAAAGGAAATGGATACAGTGGCCTCTGGCTGCACCTTCCATGCAATAGAAGAAATTCTGTGAGCAGTATTTAACTGTAAAAACATATCAGCGTCCATGACCAAATCCTGGAGTACCATGCCCACCAGGTTAGTGACCCTGAAATTCAACTAAAGTTAGAGAGTTCAGTTTTTCTCCAAATGGATGCTTTACTTTCCAACAGCTTTTCCTTATTTCCTCATGTCTGCCTTAGGGATTATTTCTGCCCTCTCCCCATCTGTCACCTTGACAGCTAAGGGTGAAACCTTACCAGTGCTCTTGCTGTTTAGGTCACCTCAGGTGATTACTCTTCTATGTCACCTAATCTTTTCAACATAGTGATGGCCTAGCCCACAGCAGTGCTGACAGTAGTGTTTAGTATCTGGACTGCTCTAACTAGCTGAGATACTTTCACAGGGTGCTAATGGTATAAAGCATGTCCAGAAGTGCTGGAGGAAGCATTCAGTACCAGGATTTCCAAGTTTTACTTCACACAACTTTCCCAGACATCTCAGTAGCGAGGGCTACTCTGGTCAGTAGCTGGTGTCATGGAAAAGGAGACACAAAGACTGTAAATTGTGCAGGAAGAAGACGTCCTCAAGGAAGGAGACCATGCTGAAAATAAATAAGTGCTAAACTTCCTCCGTCTGCAGAAGCAAATTGGTAACACGCTCTCAGGACCTTTGGGTGCCCTGGATATCACTCAAGCTGACAGAACCACGGCCCAAAGAGGACAACTTGGCTGCAGGAGGCAACTGAGAAGCAGCACAGACATAGCAGGAAGACAGCACTTACCAAGATCCTGTGATCAAACTGTACAGTTGTAGGATTCTCAAAGATATTCTTCAGTATGGGGGAGAAGGCAAGGAGATCATCTGGGATCCAGCGCTCCCCCATTTTGGGGAATGAATTGTACACAAGGCCAGCATCCAGCCCTGCCACAAAGGCACCTGCAATTCCAGAGCATGAAATGAGACTTCCAGAGTAGGTGAAGGTGCACTCCAGGTTGTGCAGCTCTGATTCAAGAGCTCTGCTTGATCCTGATTTTCTTTTAGAAACATATACAGAGATCACACAGCAACAGGCAGGCTGGAAGGTGCCTCTCCACCTCCTCAGGAAGGACCAGCAAGGGAGGTTCTTGACTGTAGGTTCCCTGACAGCAATGAAGTATTCCCAGAGAACATGATGGGGTTGCTCACAGTCCCGGATAAACCAGAGGAAGACAAAAAATACAAAAGAGGGCATAAAAGAACGAGCCACAGATGGGACAATGAAAGTCTTACCTGAAAGAGCTGTAAGGAAAATGAGAGCCGTAGTGCCATGAGCGTATTGTCTCAAGCGAATGAGCTGATGGGTTTCAGGTAACTGTAAAATAAATAAATAAATAAAATAATCAATGCAAAGCATTTCCAGCACTGTTTGCTGTAGGTAAGAAAAGCCTTAATGCATATACAACGGGTTAGCCTGGATTTTACAGGAGGGATATAGAGACCACCACACAGCACAGCCACACTTCAGGGGCTCCTCTAAACCACAGCTAATTGAGTTCAACCCTGTGCAGAAACTGAATTGGCCACTGGACAGCTACTGGCACAAGTGCTCAGCCAGGCACAGCCCTGCCTGAGCCTGCACAAACTCCGAGACTAACCACTTCTGAGCGGAAGAGCATGAGACAAAGGAAGTGCCCCATAACCAAGTTTACAGAAAGGGTGTTTTGTCACACTACTATTATCAGAGTCAGGAACAGAGACTGAAAAGGAAGCACCACCACCTCTCACACCCTTCCCTCACCCTTCACGTTACCCCCCAACCCTCTGAATTGACACTATCCTGACACACCATTCTGTACCTTGTGTCGTGGGAGCAGCAAGGACAGACCTGTCCACAGGCTAGCAGAGTACAGAATCAGTGCGGAGCCAAGGTGTGCTGCCAGACGGTACTGACTGACACGAGGAATGTCATACGAGTCTGGCTTCTCTTCCAGCCCACTCTTCACCATGTACCACCCCAGCAGCCCCTGAAAACACAGGAGAGGGGTTACAGCCAGCCAGGGCAGCAGCACCACTAAGGACACGTAAACATTAGGGGTAAAGCAACTTTCCTCTGCCTTCAACCAGCTTGCAGCACTTACATCCCCCAAGCTTTCACAAATCCCTCTGTTTCAACTATGCTCAATCAGAAGGTATTCACAGGAGATGCTGCTGCTAACCCCTGCTGCTACGGAGCTCACTCACCTGGAAGCAGACCAGCCCACAGAGCGCAAGAACACAGCCCTTCATGGGGCGGCTGAGCCAGCCCTTTCGCCAGAAGTAGGCGGCAGGCAGGATGTAGGCCAAGCCCACAATGCGGCCCCACATGCGGTGCGAATACTCCATGTACCAGATGAACTTGAACTCTGTCAGGGTCATGTCATGATTCAGGCTGTTAAAGACAGTAAAACAAAGAACTGTTTCATGGGATGTAGCAGTCCTATGCTGTACTCAGTGCAACATGGTGTCACCTTCCTCAGAGAAAGGAAGTGACAGTGAAGGAGCCACCATCAGACAGGCTTTGTGCGCCTTCCTAGTGATGTTAGAAAGCATTTCCCCTCCCACAAGAGCCCCTCGAGTGGCTCAGTTACAGGGGGGATGCTCCCAGCCCACCCTCCTTCTGCTTTTGCACACTCACATTTTAAACTCTGGGAACTGCTGATACTTCTGGAACTCGGCTTCCCACTCCTGCTGTGTTCTTGGGGGTTTCATCTCTTTCACCAGATGCCAGTCAACCATAGAGAGGCCGGATTCTGTCAGCCTGGGAGAGATGCAAGCAAGCACAATTCACTCCCTTTCAGTATGCAGATGTACTGAACTGAAGTGAAAACTGTTATGTGCACCAGACAACCTTTAAATTCACAGATGGAGATCAGGGAGTCTGAGTGACCAGACAGACCTAGAAGTACCAAAACTGTGTAAGAGGATGTTATCCCTAGCTTGCATCAGCACACTACAGGCAGTCTTTCTAGTGCATAAGGATGCAGACCTTACACTGCAGTGAGTAAAGAGGAAGGCCACAGAGATGCTCTGGGGTCTGGAGCACCTCTCCTGTAAAGAAAGGCTGGGTGTTGGGGTTGTTCAGCCTGAGGAACAGGCTTCAGGGAGACCTTAGAGCAGCTTCCAGTGCCTGATGGGGGCCTACAAGAAATCTGGAGAGGGATTTTAACAAGGGCATGTAGTGACAGGAAAAGGGGGAATGGCTTTAAAGTGGAAGAGAGTAGATTTAGATTAGACATTAGGAAGTTCTTTCCTGTGAGGGTGCTGAGGTCCTGGCAGAGAGTGCCCAGAGAAGCTGTGGCTGCCCTATCCCTGACAGTGTTAAAGGCCAGGTTGGATAAGGCTTTGAGCACCTGGTCTGGTGGAAGGTGCCCCTGCCCATCGCAGGGGGTTGGAACTGATTGATCTTTAAGGTCCCTCCAACCCAAACCATTCCGCGATACAATATGACCCTTATCCCCCAGCGTCCCCTTGCAACCAGGGAAGAAACACCCGACAGGGGCTACCACAGGTGTGCTTTGGTGGGGGGGGGCAGAATCTCATGCGCGGAAGGCAGCTGCGGGCAGCTCTGACCGCTTAAGCGGGTCGCCGGTGCTGGGGAACAGTACCTCTACACAACCTCCGCTCCACGCCCCTTCAAGGGCTTGAGCGCGGGCACGGCCCCGGCACATGACCCGGAGCGGGCGGGACGGGGCGGGGCGCGCCGCGCTCACCTGGTGACACCGCCCAGCACCACGGCACCGGCCACGGCGCCGCTGCAGGCTAGGAGCCACCGCCCCACGGCTGGCGGGGCGGCGGGAGGCGGTGCCTGCTGCAGGAACCGCCGCTGGAGGCCCCGCTGCAGGGGGAAGCGGCCGGCGGCCGGGGTCGGGCCCAGCGCGTGCCCGGTGCCGCCACCGCCCCGCGGCAGCAGCGCCAGCCGGACGCCGCCGCGCGCCGCACGCAGCATCTCCCGCGCGCACGCCGGAAGTGTCGCGCGCACGCCGGAAGCCGTAGAGGGAGCCGCTTCCGGACACACCCGGGCGTCACCATGACAATCCCCGGCACGTGACCGAGAGCCAAGCAGCGACCCCCGCGCGCCGCCAGCGCAGGTGAGCGCGCGTGCGAGGCGGGGGCGGGGCCCACGCGGGGGCGGGGCCGAGGCGTCGTGGGGGAGGAGGGGGCGGGGCCTGCCCCGCGGAGCTCGAGCTTGGCGCGCCGGCTCCAACCTCCCCCCCGCGCCCGCCTCCGCCAGCCCGCGCCCGCCCTCGCGCCCGCGGGCGGCACGGGCCAGGGACGACAGGGGGCGGAGGCCGGAAGTGGGAGCGAGGAGGCGGGGCCTGTGGCGGAAGTGGGCCGGTGGCGGTGCGGAGAAGGGAGGCCGCTATGGGCCGGGCCGGACTGATGGCGCCGATCTCGCCCAGGTATGGACGATGGCTTCCTCATGGAGGTGTGCGTGGACTCGGTGGAGTCTGCCGTCAACGCGGAGCGCGGAGGTAAGGCCCGGAGGACCTGGGAGAGAGGGCGGCGGTAGCGCCGCAGGCATGGTTCTGACATGCTTTTCCCCAGGTGCCGGCAGGATCGAGCTGTGCGCGGGCCTCGTGGAAGGAGGAACCACCCCGAGCATGGGTGAGTCTCGCCTCCGTCCTGCGATGGGGTCCCCTCCCTTGGGAGTCCCCGTGCCCAGCGCGGCCTCCGGAGCTCCCTTTTCCCCCTTGCTTTTCCTCGCCTTTTCTTCCACTCATCTTTCTCGCCGACTTGCCTTTCCCAGTGCCCCCCTTTCCCCCCCGCCCCGGTGACTGGAGCCGCCGTAGTTGGGTACCGAGCCGCCTCTTGCTCTCCCGTAGGGCTGCTGCAGGTGGTGAAGCAGTGCGTGCGGGTTCCGGTGTTCGTGATGATCCGACCTCGCGGCGGCGATTTTCTCTACTCGGACCGGGAGGTGGAAGTGATGAAAGCCGATATTCGCCTTGCCAAGCTGCACGGGGCTGACGGGCTGGTGTTTGGAGCCCTCACCGAGGACGGGCGCATTGATACGGAGCTCTGCACGGCGTTGCTGGGTAAGAAGCTGTCCAGTCACAAGTGCTGTGCTGAGCTCCATGCGGTATCTTCGCTGGGGCTGGGGGTGGAAGTTAAGTGCTGGTCTGTATGGTGATGTAGAAAGAGCTGTGTATAGGGTGCTTTGGTCTGCTCATCTTGTCTGTGGTCTTGTTATTTTTCTCTGTCTTCTCCAGTCCCATGCATGGCCATACCTGTGAAATGTTAAATAACTTTTTTTCTTTGTAAGAAGCTTTGCAGACCAGGGTCCAATTCCACAGGCAGCTCATATAGAAAGAGAGAGGCTTAGGTGAGCTGCTCTGATAGCATCAGGGTGTTAAACTGTTGGATTCTCTCTCTTCTTCATTTTCTTTGCCCTTTTTTCTATTTTCTTCCTCATCCCTGCTACAGATGTCTAGAATATGGCTTTCCTGGACTTTGGCCTTGTGGGTAACTGGCAACTCATGTTCATTCTTCCTTCTGACATACCCCATGAGAAAATGCATGACATAAGTGGAAATGTGTGAAGGGCTATTGGAACTGGGGTGGGAAAATGTTAGTCCAGACCCCTGATGTGTAGAGAGAAAGTTTGTTTCCACATTTTATCTGTGAACTGCAGCCAAATTAAAGAGGGATGAGCCTTTCCCTCGTGATGTGGTGCTGAGGTTCTTGTGCGAAGGTGAATGTGCTGTAGGAAGTGCAGCAAAAGAGGAGGGTTTTGCTAGGATTTGCCTCTGCTACAGCAATGAGATGCTCTGCTGGAAGCAGTGTTCTTAGGGAAGCAGACAGTTAGGTTTCTTTTCATAGAAATAAATAAGCTTTGCACAATAAATAGAGCCCCGCAGGTGAGGTTTGCCCTGGTCTGAGAGCAGAAGTTGCAGGTAGTGAAAGAAATAATAAAAATCAGCTGTACTGCTTTGAAAGACTGCTGATCCCATCCCTTCCACAACTAGATGGTAAACCTTCCCTGCTTCTTTCCTGCAGAGAAAGACGTCTGGTGGGGATGAGGGTTCTGCGTGATCTAGATGAGATGGGAGATTTTGGTATTACTCATAAAAACAAAGGTTTGTTGCTTTCTCAAAGAGCAGGATAACTCCTCTCCACTGAAGAGCAGCATCTGCATTGCTCCCAGCAAGTACTGGGATTCTTCTGAGCTCCCCAGGAATGGCATGAGAAGCATCTGCCCTGTTCCACCTCATGTGCTTTACTGCTTCTAGCACAAGGGGCATTCTGTACCACCCTGACTGACCATATGTCTTCTTATTGCAGCGGTGTGCCGTCCCCTGCCAGTCACATTTCACCGAGGTGAGTGAGACCAGCCTCTGCCCTGCTGCCAAGGGAAGGTGGGGCTGGGAGGGAGCTGGAGCTGAGCTTAAATGCTCTTTGGCAGGGGGAAAGCTCTGCCAGAGCAGGCTGTGGCTGTGCTGATCCTCCAGGAGATAAAAGGTCTAGGGTGTCCAGGCTTAGGGGGCTGTGTTGCTATCCTGTGTGGAGAGCAGGTGCTTAAGGAGCTGAGCATGGGGGCCCTGCCATTGCTGCAAAGGGGACGTTATAGTTGGGAGCTGTGGCTCCCAGCAGGGCAGTCACTGTGAGAAGGACCCTTCCTGTTGTTGTCTCCTGAGCTGGCTAAGAGCATGAGGAGCTAAGTGATTTCTGAGCTGTTGTGTTGGTCCTTCAGCCTTCGACATGGTGCACGATCCCCTGGTGGCACTGGAGACCCTCATCTCTCTGGGGTTTGAGCGGGTGCTGACAAGTGGCTGTGACAGCTCAGCGTTGGAAGGATTGTCCTTAATCAAGAGGCTTGCAGAACAGGTAAGCGTTCCCTGTGCTCCCCTGGATTACTGTGTCTGCTTCCTGGGCATTTCTTGGAGCCAGCTCCTTTATGGTAACTCTCATTTTTGCAAGGAACTTCTGTCAAGGAGCACTTGGCCCAAATCAGTTTTCCCAAGTCCACGTGGGCTGGACCCCAAAGTCTTCACAGCAAAGACTGGTTGGGTTATTTTTGCTCACAGACTGGGAGGAGGGTGGTAGGAGTTGGCTTCAGCAGCTGGTGGGATTAGCCCGTGTAAACAGCAAAGTGAGGTCCCTGCTGGGGGTCTCACAGTTTCTGTTAGGAAACTGGTACGGATATACCTGAGAAATAGCCAGGTGAGATACAGAGGTAGGAGAAAGTAGTGACAAGTTGTGTTAGCTGTAGCTGCGTATTATTCTTCACTATTCCTTGCAAAATATTAATAGTAAAAAATAGATGGGTGAGAGTACATTAATTGTAAGCTGTGGTAGCATCCGTTAGCTTATGGAAGATGCTGCATGTAAGGTTTCTTTGCTGCCCCACAGAAGCACATGCATGTGGTGCTGAGTAGTATCATTAACATGCTATTCTTTTTCCAGGCAAAGGGAAGAATTGTGGTGGTGCCAGGTAATGCTTTTATTTTACTGTCATCTGTAACAGGTCCTGTAGCCCTTAAGCCAGCTTCCTAGTCTTTTGCCCTGGAATGTGCTGTGTGAGTGAAAGTCACGCAGCCAGCTGGGGATGGCAGAGCCCTGCAGCTGCTGCTCGGGAGGATCTGGGGACAGATCTAGATCTGTGGCAGAACATGAACCAAGGCTTCTCCCATCACTTTTCACTGCCTGGGTCTCCACTGTCTCAAAGGCTGTCTTTTCCCTTCAGTGTAGGTGGTTTTTGTCCCTTAAGGGATAGGTCCCAGGGTAATGTTAGGTCTGGGGCAGTGCCATCTGTGGTGTGTGTGACATCGTGATTCTTCCCACCAGGGGGTGGCATCACAGAGCGCAACCTGCAGAGGATTCTGGAAGGCTCCACTGCTTCTGAGTTTCACTGCTCAGCTCGCTCAGCCCGCGACTCGGGGATGAAGTTCAGGTAACTGATTATTTAGTTCTATTTGTTAGCAAAACCTGTATAGGGGAAAAGCTGGATTAATGGGAACGTGAGTTTTTAGAACAGGCATAAATTTCAGCCAGCTTTCTGGGAGCTAATTGTGCTCTTGTGGTTGGGATCATGACGCGTGGCTTGGTATTCTGCAGTGTGTGTATCCAGCGATGCTCCGTATCCAGACATGAGCTTTGTGCAGACCTGGTCCCTTAGGGCATTTCTTCTGCTACTGCTACCCTAGGACTCGTGAGCGTGCTTGTATGGCACTCGGGAAGGCAGGTTCTGGTGTAGTTGCCTTAAACCTTTAACACAAGCATGTAGGATTTGGGAGGCCAGTGGGGAATGGCTTACATTTGTCCACAGGTCTGCACTGGGCTTCTGTTAATGCTGTTGTTTCTTGCCTTTGGATTAGTCTTCTTTCTGTTACTGTCTCATCTTTGGTTTAGGTGGCATCAGCAGCTTCTCTGGTCACTGCTGAGACTAGGGGAGATTGTGGGTTTTTCTTAGTGTCTTACTTGTCTGTACAAGCTATATATAGTAACCAGTGGTTTTCCTGACAGGAATCCGAATGTTGCCATGGGAGCGTCCTTCTCTGCCCCTGAGTACTCCATAAAGGTGGCTGATGTTGCCAAAGTGAGGACCCTGAATGCAATTGCAAAGAACATTCTGTAGTGGAAGGCACCATGCTGGGACAGGAGTGCTGGGACTCCAGGGTCTTCCCTGCCACATGGACAGATGGGTACTGCTTCTGTCCTCAGGCTGCAGAGGATGCGAACTAGGTGATGGAGTCTGACATCTTCTCCCTTGGCTTCTCCTGAATGACTAGTCCCTGGTCTGGAAACCTACGTTGGCCATTTTAAATAAAAGGACTCATTCCCAGATGTTGCAGCAACAAGGTGTTGGGCATTATCTGGGAGGAAGGAAGCTGAACAAGTAGGGGGACTGAATTGTGTAGCACTGCATGTGATTGTCAAATAAACACTGCAGCTGCCCCCCTCTTTCTGTGCTTTTTGATTTATTTGTGTTTTACAAGTGTGACTGTGATCTGTGTTACATACCCTGCATTAATCAGGCCTTTGCTGCACATCCAGAATGCCAGGGAGGAAAACGGCTACAACTGGAAAAAAAAGCCTGCTCTGATCAAGCCAGTAAGATAGCTGGGGGTTAGCAGCACAGCAGCTGCT